TTCTTCTTCTTGCATTCCAAAGTGAAATTCTTTCTACCTTATCTTTTGAGGTGGTGTTATGTCATTCTTGATAATTTTCCTTCGTGTTTCATGATTCACATGTTGTCAAGAACGAGGTATTTTAAATCCATCAATTTCTTTGTTGGAGTATCTTGGGTTATATTTCACCTAAAGCCTTCCATTGGGAATGTTGCTATTTGTGGTGCTTATCAATGATCCAAGCTTTCTCCATATCCTTCTCGGTGAAAGAGGTTTTTCATCTCTTCGTTGATCTCAAGCAAGCAATTGTTTCAGTTAGTGGCCGGTTGTTACCTCATAATTTTGAGATGTTTTCCATAAACCCACTACAAGCTTGTGCTTTTCATTGTTGATTTTCCAACAACTCCGTTCAATTCTTCTTTGCAAGGATGCTTTCCAAGTTCATTTGTGGCAGAAGATGTCATTTTCTTCTCCGTTCTTTTCTTTCCATCAATCTAGCTTCTATTCTTTCGTTCCGGAGGCATTGTGATGTTGCTCTCTTCACCCATTGTCTCGTTTTGTCAAGATCATGTTCTTTTTCTTGCTCATCCATTTAACCGGAGTGTTGTGTTCTCATTCAAGTTCTTTCATCTTATCAAGTTTTGCCTCTCTTTTCAACCAGAGTGATGTCCGAATTTGATCTTCCTTGTTCCTTGATTATGTCGTTTCAACCAGAGTGGTTCCAATTCCTTCTTGTCCATTGTACTCGCCATTCATAGCTTTGCAACCTCCAAGGTTCATATGGTGTTCCTTGTTTCAATTTTCTACCGCTCTGCTCTCAATTGCGTTCAACTCCGTTGTGTTCTTTCTTTCAACTTTTCAACCTCTCAAGGTTCCTTGGTTTCACTCTTTTGTCGAAGAAGCAACTTAGTTTTACCTCTTCTCTTCCTCTTCCGTTTCTCTCCGGCGCCATCCTAGATCTCGGGACGAGATCCTCTTGTAGTGGTGGAGTGTTGTAACGCCCCAAGACCGACGCTCCAGAAGACTCCAGCTATTCTGAGTTTCGCCGTCTGATTTTATTTTTGTTTGTTGCATTCATCGTTGCATCATTTGCATTGCATCATTTCTTCATGCAACCCTTTTTAAAACTCAACTAAATAAATCATGTGGATCTCCGATCCATTTAAATTGAGGGAAATGCACAGGGTGATTTCTCTTTAAAACATATTCAAGGTCTCCTACTATTATTAGGGAGCTATATTAAATTATATTCCATTAGTTTGGAATTTACCACAACACACGTGCATGTTAAATCCCTTGGCCTTTCCTTCTTCGAGTTTTGACTCTGTAACCTTGCCTATAATTCTTTTCCCTTTTATTGAGGCTCCTCATTAAATCTCAACATTTTTGACCACACCAAACCTAGTCCCAATTCAAACCCATTTGAATGATATTCAAATGAGTTTGAATTTAAAGCATGCATTCGTGTCTCTTTCTATTTTCTTGGATCAAGCTTATTTTTATGAGTCCAGGAAAATTATCCACATGCACAAATTCTTTCCCTAACCCTCTCTTCTTTTCTTATCTCTAATTCTTTTCTGCTAAAGAAAATGAGGGAGAGAGAGATAGCCCAACGAGGCCTCTTGGGCCTAACCGACCAGACCGAACCGTTCCCACAGGCCCAGCTCGCCCCAACTCTTAACCCTAGTGAGCATCTCCCCTCGTTCCCCCCTCTCTCGTTCCCCTACTCGCGCCGCCAGAGAGGAGCAGAGCCCCGCTCCTCCCGATCCACCTCGCCCATGCCTCGCCGCCAATCTCCCGTGCGCCTCCACCCACAGGAGAACCACCTCGCGCGTGACCCTACCACCAGTGTCCCTCGCGCCGCCACCTGCTCGCTCGGCCCTCTCCACCCTCGTCCCGATCGGGAGAGGCTCCCGAGCCGCCGTCGCCGCCGCCCGGATCCATCGTCCCCGACCCCATGACCGCCTCCCCATCATCATCTCCGGCAAGAGGCGTCGCCAAGCTCGACGTCGCCCTCCTGCTTCTCCTCCTCGCTCGCCTCCTGCAGCCCGAGCGCCACCGCCGGAGTTGCTCCGTCCATCGTGCGCTACCCCGAGCTCCAAGCACTGTCCTGACCTATGCGACCAGTGCCTCCACTGCCTCACCGTTGCTGCGCCTCAAGCCCATCCGTGCGTCATCCACGCACCGGCATCGCGCCAACTGTCTCCCAGGTGGCCGACCGCCTTGACCTCCTCTGCAAGGACAAGTCGCTGCTGCGATCACCTCCTCAAACCTACCTCATCGGACCCCTATCCCGGCCCATCTCCATGCCATGACCATCTGCCTCTGCTCGTGGCGAAGCTCCTCTTGCAGCTCTGCTTCACTTGCGCCTCCCCTTCCCGATCTCGACCTTGAGCAGTTGCTCTTTCTATGCCCCGTGGTTAGTTTGGTAGTCCACCTCCACATCCATGCTCAGTAACCTCCAAGACCACCGTTGCAATGCTGAGACATCTGCCCCGGAGTACCTCAAGTCCATCTACGACTAGGCGGACTCGCCAAGTACCACAACCATCGCGTTTTGTTTCATCACAATCAAGGTCGAGTGGACGCCAAGTACCAGGACGTCAAGTTCCTCGCCGGACCCGAACATCTACAAAACGTGTACCACTACTTCCACTATCGTCGCCCCGAAGACATTGGATTCGTCAAGTACCTCTCCGAAAAGAACGTGTACAACTACTTCCACTACGTCACGAGAACGTCTACTTCCCTCGACGATCTCGACCCGCTCCGAAATGCATGCTTCAAAGGTATAACCCCGAGACGATCAACCGAGGACCGAATGCATGTGTTGTATGAGATGCTCGTGTTTGCACCGTGCCCGTTTGCTTCAGGCACGTTCCTCCTTGTTTGCCGTACCATCGACCCGTGGGAACCCGGTAACCGGGATCACCCCACCATCCTTACATGACTCGCTCACGTCTCACGTCATTTTGAACTGGTATCTCCATGAGCTACCGGAATCGATATGTTGTCATGGCTCCATTTTCGTTTCACCGTCGTGGCACCCTTTTCGTTCCGCCATGGTGACAAATGCTTCATAACATGCTCATGTCAACGCTTTCATAAAACTTGCATATGTCATCCGCATCATGATAACAACATTTAAAATGGTTAAAATTGTGTTTGCATTATATTGCTAAATGACATATGGGGATTTTCTGAAATTGTTGTTTGTTGTTCCGGCCTCATTTAAACTTGCCTAGGTAGGTAGTTTTCATATGTTTCACCTCTTGCCATGTTTATAACAACATGTAATATTGTTGTGTTCCAAACCGAGAGGGAACTAAATAACTGATATGGTGTTTCGTCAACATGCAACTCGTTGCATATTGAGCTCCACTTAACTTGTAGTGTTGTTTGTGCATACTAGTTGACCCGTTGCGCCAAATGACGCAGAGACCTGCTGAAGACATGTTGTCGATGAAAATAATTTCATGTTGCAAGAACCTTCAACTAAAGCCATGTTCGCGATGAAAATAATTTCCTTTACTAAGGACAGGCCATTTATATACAATCGGTTTAGTTGTGGTCTGCTAAATCCATATGCGCCTTGAAGAAAAACATGGTTTAATTTGCAGAGCCTCACGTGTTTCAAGTATAAATAGGAACTACGAACTCTTTTTGTGCGATTCAAACACATTTTCAGAGGTTTTATTTTTTAATACATGTTGTCTAAGGTAACATTTTCCCAGAGAGAGAGCGAGAGAGAGAAGCATACCCCTTTCTCATTATGATTATTATTAAAAGGTATTAAATTCGAAATAGACAATTTCATTTACTTGAAGCACTTGAATAAAGAGAATTTAGACATACTTTTACACAATGGTCATTTAACCTGTGAAGGACTACGCAATGCTCATTTAACCTGTGAAGGACAAAAATATTCCACCATCTCTGAATGATGAACTAAATTAAATAAAAAATATATGCAGTAAATTCATTCAAAGTAGAAAAGGGATCTTACATCAAATAAGGCATTACAACAAACATGGTGTTATCTTAGTAAAAGAAATTACATCATTAGAAGAGAAAGGGGAAGAAAACCAATCATGAGATTGTGATTAATACATCTAGGAGGAGGTCGTAAACATCACTGTGATCATTTTGTGGCCTGGGGAGCAAAGGATCCATGGTTTTTATATGCCTTGTCCGGGTGCTGGAGTAAATGACATGGAAACGTCATCTCTACCATCTCGATGGCTTAGACCCAGGGAGCCGGATGTTCATCTCGGCCCTCCCCAGCTTCCATCAATGGATTTTTATAGTCAGGGTTAAAGACTGAGAGGCCCTATGCATGTTCAAAGATGCGAGTAGCATATCCAATACATATCAAAGAAAAAGAAAAAAGAAGACCACAAACATCACAATCATTCATGACACAAAGAGGGGAAACAGACACCTCAACAAGATTCTTGAGGAAGTGCCCAAGGAAAGAAAAAAGAACGTTAGGTCTGAACTATAAGAACATGCTCATAAATATGAATTGTCAAGGGCAAGATGAAATGCGAGAACAAGCACTGAGGAGTAATGATATACTGGAAAATTCCTTTCTTTGTTGTTGTTAGCGCTTGTTTTTTAATATACATTGAGGCACTCAGGTTGTACTCATATCTACAACCCAATCTCGTAGCTCTTTTCTTTAACAACCTACAGACAGATTGAACAAATGGAGATTGCTATATGGTGGACTACCTACAGATTACTAACTTTACAAAATCCCTCACATCTTCTCAATTTCTGATCCTATGGAATTCATTGTCATTAGGCACCTTTTGACCATTATATCCAGAATCGAACGGTTTGGGGTATGCCAGAGGGTTTTAGAATCTCCTGAGAAGCACCAAATGCTTTATTTCACTCCAGTTTTCATCATGACCATCAAATCCTAATCATGCAGTCAACAATGTCGTGCCTTTGGTGCCTTTGTTGCACAAAGGTAGAGGATATGCATACCTCAATTATGTATGCTAACGCCTAGATCATATTCCATCTTGTTGGCACATGCAATCAGGCATTGGGAAGGTGTATATGGAATCATTAGGTTTCCTGAATGTGATGCCCCTTATGTCACTATGGTGCAGTATTTCCAGCATGTGGTGCTTGAATCGACTCCTGCAGTTCAAAGAAACAATTTGAGTTTCATATACCACTATATCCATTTACATAGTTAAGCAAAGATGGGCAAATAATTAGAGCATGTATGTGAAGGTCAACTCGAAGATGTATTTCAATTTGTTAACATGGCTAATGCGTTCCAAAAAGTAGGCAATAGCTACAGTCTTGGATGGTGAAGGAATAACAAGGGCAGCGAACTGCTTCAGCAGTTTGATTTGGTGAAAGATTCCAACATATACTCAAAACTGAAACTGATTTGGTGTGATTTGTAATACTTTGTTGACGATATAATGGCAGCTCAAACTGACCTGATATTTGGGTCGTCAAAAGATAAGACCAGCTTCCGTTTGTCACGTTTTATTGTCTTTGCATTCCCTCCTAATAGGTAACGCCTGTGTCCCATCAAAAAGTGAGGGAAGTTCCACCCTTGAGTCGTCACAAACACTTCGCTCTGAACACAGACGGTGTAATCTAATGCTGCTAACCGAGAAGAGTACCCCTACAGAGAATAGGTTAGTAAGTAACGGTATGAAGATTCAATGTGAATTGATGAACAGTTCAATGCATGCATATTCATCTGACATTCGGAACAACATCCAGCTATGCTGATGGGATGGCTGGCGGAAACAATACCTCAAACTCAGCAAGCTCTTCAGACAATGCAAGAGTGTCCTTGGTTTGTAAAAGAGGGAACATCTGGCGAAGGGGAGCCATGTATTTTGCAGCATTGTATATTTTACCGGAGGCAACATAGAGGAAGGTTGTATTGTCAAACCCCATGCCTCGCAGCATCATACCAACCTGCTCAAATTCAGTCAGTTAACATATTAGCTCTAGTGAGTATATTTACATATTTGAAAGCTTCTAAATTTGTTCTGAATGCTACTAAAGAGACGCAACTGATGGCATTGAACTTAAAGGTTATTATTATTGACCTGAAGCATCACAAACTAAGCAACAAACTTCAATTCTAGTATAACAGGCCTAGGCAAACATTACAAAACACAGTGACACAGAGCCATACTAATTTCATGATACCAGTACAAAGAAAATCCCAGAATTCATAAAGTTTCAAAGACACACAATATCTGATAGTCACGACACCAACATGGGAGAGTCAGCTGACACAGACCAGAGGAAAAATACTGATGAATGCTTATGATTTAGCATACATTGCGATTAGCACTTGACCTCTTTCAGCTCATGTGAAGTACATGAGAGTTGGCTCAGCAGCTCCTTCCCTTGTATTATGCAAACACCAAGCTGCCATCATCATGCATTCACTCGCCCACAAAGCTGAAATAGGTCAAGAGGAGCAGTTTTCGAACTTGAGTAAGTTGAATGTATGTATTAGTTCCACCTTCCCAAAGAAGCTGCAAGCATTACTATGTGATGTTGGGAACGACAAAGCGAAACAAACATCGAGGATAGCTTGTGTAAAAATATACATTAGTATGCAGCAGATTGTTTATCTAAAGTAAATATCCTGAGAATACATTGGTACAGGTAACAAATTGGACATCTGAAGTTAGTACCTAGAAAATAAAGTCACAATGCATCTACATTGTAGCTTTAGCAGTTCATTAACCTAGGATTGTGTTGAGAGATGCATGTCGTCTGAGAGACAAAGAACTAAACATGAGCTGACAATGCCAATTGATCCATCCTTTACATTTCTCAGATGGAAGGCATGGGTCCTTGCACCAACAGGCAACAGGAAGTGGTGCCAGCAATTTTGGAATCACAGAAATTAGTATGGCATCAAGGTAGATAATAAGAAACACTAATATGGCGCCTGCAATTGTGAAAAAATAGAAATCAGTACGACATCGAAGTAGATAACAAACAACACTTCCTGATTTCTATTGTTTGTTATCTACCTCGATGTGTAACAAATAATTGATCTGGGGATGAGTAGGCTTTAGTTCGCATATTTGGTATGCTTCTTATATTATGATTGAAACGCAGTAGAACATCTTTTGGGAGTTCCTTCACAACTCTTACATGTTGTCTGAGTGTCCCGATAAAACGATCTTCATCAAAAATATCACTAAATTTGCTGAGAAACAAATCATCAGGAAGAACCAATATATATTAGAACAAGAAGTAGAATTTCAAAAATATTCACGGGTTTATAACTAACAGAAGTGAACTTTAGAAGTCAAACAAGCTGCTCTAGACACTAAAACAACGAGCAAGAGACAACTACTCCAGACAGACATCCATCATATAAAAATGCAATTATCTAATGTTAAGAAACAAAGTAGTGAGCAAACAAAATAGCATTAGTTACCTAGGATCGCGCCAAACGCTATTCAAATGAAATATTGGGATCACAAGAGTTGCATTAAGCAAGCTGGCCACAACAACTGCATCGCAGATCTGTATTGAGAAAAAAAATGGAACTACACTGTCAATAATTATTACTCGTCATAGTGTGAAGGTTCTAAGGACTTTACAAAATGAGACATCCACATCACAGCAACTGGTAGAGGCCAGAGTCTAATTCTCAAGCTCTCAGGTCAGAAGAAATATATCTCTCAACAGAAGATCTGATGGCATGTGACCAAAAAGATGAAAGCAAATATCGGTGATCTTTGGATGAATAATACAACTATGTATGTACAAAGATAGTACTAATGCCTTTCCAGTACAAAGTTATTGATGAAAGCCATCTCAATCAAAGTGATAGTACATGACTTCAAGTTACATAGTGGTGTCAATGGATTCATACGACATTGAACTTTTGTATAGGTAATAGCAATGGTATTGCTTGCTTGCTGTATCTAACGTGGTCCAGGAACTTACAAAAAGACACTGTTGATTCAGACCACCATTTGCTTCAACTATGAGATAACCATTTGAAGTCGATAAATCTGTAAAGAGCCCAAAAATGATCCAGCCAGTCAGGTATTTAGCTTACTCCACTCCTCGCGGCGCCCCTGCAGCCAACACAATCATCATGAGACAATGTCTGGTATCTTCTTGTAGGAAATGGAAAAAGCAAAGAAAGAAATAGCAGATGCAATTGCCAACAAGACTATACTCACTTTCATATGATCTGAAACAAGAAAAATTTGCAAGGGGCATGAAGGGGAGAAGGATTGAGAGAAGCTCACCTTGACATCTTCCAAGATCCTCCCGTGTGCACCATCTTCAGCCGTCAGGATCTCATCCATGAAGATGCTGCTTTTCCCTATCTCCGACCTCTCCTCCACCCCGTGAGGCGTCCGCTGCCTGGTCTTCGGCCTCGCTGCTCCACCCCACACCGCTGGCCTCTTGGCCCTCCCCTGCTCTCTCCCATCCAACGCCGTGCCTGGATCGACCGGGGCGGAAAATAACCTGATATGACAAGTCAAGTTGGAATAAGATAATATAGCATTCCCCCAAAATTAAGGTATAGACAAACTCTGGAAACATGCAGGATTCATGGAGACGTCTCCCCTGAAATATATAAGCACGCCCAAATGTATGCATAAAAAAGAAACTGCTAAATTTTGAGAGGTATGATACCATCATCGACAAGAAATGTGTGTCCCACCCCCTAACACAGTTGAAATATTACTTCCAGTGTGCAGTGAAGTTGCCAACGATAATATCAGATCTCAAATATAGCTACTTCCATTCCTTGAACCTTACATGCATGTAAAATTAACTTCCTCTCAGTAGCAGAACATATAAACAACTTAAACATAAAGTGGAAAGTAACCTGCAATGCCACGCAGCATATATTGTTGCTCCATGACCACTGCCTAAAAAAGGACTTCCCGGTTCAGTGTTGCAGGTCCTCTTATATGTCACCAAGAGGAGGAAGGACACCTAGCCCTGCAAATGGAAGCAAATTCATAATGTTGCATGTCACCTTTCAAGGGATAAAAAGAGCAAAAATCGATTATATGTCGTTCCTAAGTCATTTGGCCATTTCAGCTAGACAGTGCGGCACGATAGATGATCCAAACAACATGGGACAATAGTTGATTCAACAACTGGAGATGTCTTTAGCGGGTCTCTGCGCCATTTGGTTATTCCTTGGATGAAACCTATTGTTGTATCACCCAGCCTAGTACCAATTCTTGTCGCAACAACAATCTCACCCAATCCTCCTTCAAGAGGATACACAAAGGATATCAGGACACCAAATTGTGTGTGTTGTAACCAGGAACCTTAATTTAGCAGCACTTTGTACAGCTGCAACTTGGTGTCATGAACTAAATTAGTGCATTACTTACACAACAGATATCAGATTAAGTAGAAGTCGATAGAAATTAGCAGAAGTGGGCAACAAAAATCAGCAGCCCATCACCTTGCAATATAGAACATACTTTCGCCGACCATCATAGATCATACCGCTAAACAACAATGTGCATCGTCCGTCCACTTGAATGATTATTTTTCAACAAAACAAAAGCACACATAGAGCACCAATTAGAAGGGATCTTGTATGGCAACAAAAAAACCATTTAGCCATTCATCGCCTGCTTACATGGTACATAGGCATTTAGGCTACACAAATCTTGTAGATGTGTGTGTGCAGGGAGAGAGAGAGAGAGAGAGAGAGAGAGATCACAAATCCATAGATGTGTGTGTAGAAAAAGAGATTAGGAGCGGAGGGGAAGCTCACCATGGGGTCTCCCCATCCTCAAAATCTGCCTGTCATGCCAAGGAAGAGGCATGGAAAAGAAGGTGGGGTGGAGGCATAGGCGCTGCCGCTGCTCAGGGCAAAACAGAGGCGAGCCTGGAGGAGAGTCTGGCCTCCTCCCTGGCTGGGCGGCGGCGCCGCCTCTAGGAGGGCCGACCTGCTCCTTCACCTAGTTACCCACCTCCTCTTCCCCTGCCCCTTCACCCCACCACTGGGCTCGCCTAACCCGTGCTTGATCTGGAACCAACAATGAAGAGAAGGAAGACGAGGTAGAGGGGCTAGCGTGGTGGAGGAGGAATAGCAGGCGGCGGCGGGACTCCAGGGCGGAGGCCGTGGCGACGCGAGGAGGGGGTGGAGGAGAGGCGGCGGCAGGGCTCCCAGGGCGGAGGCCGTGGTGACGCGAGGAGGGGGATGGAGGAGGGGAGCGGGAGGCTGTGGGGATCGAGGGAAAACAAGGCTAGGGTTTGTGTGACGGCTGGTGCGGGAGTGGGACGAGGCGGATTGCCTGCGGAAGCATGGAGCGGATTGGTCAAAACTGTCTGCACGCAGCCACGACTGACCCAGCCAACCAGAGCACGAGACGAGCCCACCCGTCATAGGCCAGTGGAAATGACCATGAAGTGAAAATCGATTTTAACTGTTGTGAAGATCCAACAGCTCAGGTGCGCCAGAAGCCAGATCGGACGGCCAACGAAGGAGTTGATCGAGGGAGCCTCCTAGAGGTGAGTTGGCTAGCCTCTTTTTTGTTTTAAATTGCCATGCCATGCCTCATTAAACCGGACATGCATCATACTTGTTTGTGCATCATGACATGTTTATGCTTGTGTGTTTACCATGGTGTTTGCTTCTTTCCGGTTTGCTTCTCTTGTTAGCTTCAGTTTCGTTCCGGAGTTGTGAGAATTCGTTCGACTACGTCCGTTTGTCTTCTTCATGGACTCATTCTTCTTCCTTGCGGGATTTCAGGCAAGATGACCATTATCCTCGATATCACTTCTATCTTTGCTTGCTAGTTGCTTCGTTCTATCGCTATGTTGCATTACTGTGACACCCCCGATTCAATCGTACACTAATCATACACACAAACGTGTACGATCAAGATCAGGGACTCATGGCAAGATATCACAACACAACTCTAAAAATAAAATAAGTCATACAA